GCAAAGCAGGCAGCCCTCCTTGAAAGGGATCTTTTGACGGTATTACCATGGGAAACAGTCTGTCCTATTACTAGATATGTCAAGAGAGAGGCATGTCTCTATTGTGAGGAAGTTGATTTTATTTTGAGTTATTTCAGTCAGAAAGCTTGCCCTTAGTATTAAACAGACATCTTTTAAAAACATTATTTTATTGTTCATTATTATTTTTTAATCTGCTTTGGGTCGAGAGGGAGAGAGAGAGAGAAAGCAAACCACCAGGTCCAAGACTCGAACCATAGTCAGCCATGTGGGAGTCCAGCACACCAACCACCACACCATCTGCTGGTCCCTAAGCAGACATCTTAATACAGTGGAATTACACAAAACTTGATTCCCTTCCAAATAAAAACCAGCAGATGGCTTAATGGTTACATCACTAGACTCCCATGTAGTTGACTATGGTTCGAGTCCCAGACCCAGAAGTTTAAACAAACCCCAGGCATGTGTTCCCCCCTGGGGGGTGATTTCTTGCTTCAAGTCTGTCTGTCTCTCAGGTAAGCACATACACCCTTAAACAAAAATCTATCTCTCTCAAAAAAAAAAAAAAAGAGAAAAGAAAAATACTAATTTAAAAGTTCAGTATCACATCCAGTCATTCCAACACTATTCCATTCCATCTGTATTCCAATGCCAACTTCAACACTTTCCAAAATCATGCTTAGATTTAAATTTGGTACTCTACTCGAGTGAGGTATAGTTGAATACGACACATTAATATTGAACCGCATTAGAAGCCTAGTTGCTTGGTACTTCTTGAGAACCTCTTTCATCCTTTCACAAAACCAACTGTGGGTCATATTTGGGAAAATACATACACAGCCAATAAAAGTATTATGTGACACAATAATTGGTTTCAGAGCTTAATTTTTTTTTTTTTTTTTTTTAATTTGCTGTAAGGTACATGCTCTTGCTGGAGAGAGATGGCAGGGGTAGAAGGTTGAGAAATTATCCCCCAGGGATAATCATGCTGTAATCCCTTCTCTTCCATTCTTCTCTCTGGATTTTGGGCACACATATACATGTGCAGACATGTTTTCCAAGTCACTGGCTTCAAGACTTGAACCATGCAGTTGGCCATGTGGGATCCAGCTGCCTTAACCTCCACACCAACTGCTAGCCCTCAGAACTTGAATCTGAATTGAAGAGATAACACCCTGAAATTATCTAGACAACCTGGCCTATAGCATTCTAGTGGCAGCATCAAAATGTCACTCAAGGGGCCAGTAGGTGGCATGGTGATTAAGGCTCTGAATTCCCACATGCCAGACACTAAAGTTCAAGACCAGGCAGCATGAAAATAACACTGGGCACCTCTGTGTGCATAACCAAAATCTCTGAAGGAGAATGGAGGAGAAAGGGGCTGTGGGTGGCCATTCCTCCCAGTGTGTGTGTGGGGTGATTCTTCACTTTCCCTCCCTCTGTCTCTCTCTGTCTCTCCAGTGAGGGTATGTGCCTTGTGACAAAAACCTTAAAAAAAAATAGTCACTAAAAAGATATCCTAGGCTAGACCATTCCTACATTTCTGTACACTGGCCCATTAGTCCAACAGATGGAAAAAACTCAGGAGGAACAGGTAAGAAAATACCTTATACATAAATCATCCCACAGGATGACTACTTAGCTTTGTCAGGTCATATACAATTCTTACAAAGTGGCCAAACATTATTGGGCAAAAAGAATCCACTTTTTAAGACTACTGTAGAAAGAAAGGTAACACATGCAAAACATCTTTTAAAGTGTTGTATTTATATTAAAAAGACAAAACAGCAACCACATACATAATTAGGGGCTTTCTCCTACTTCCTTTCCATCCTCCCATCCCCTCCTGCTACCACTGGCATCTATCTTGCCTCTTTAGATTTAAGCTCCCACTAACATTTCCTTTAGAGAAATATGTATTTTTTTTTAATACAGTGAACTTCTAGGGATAATGACCACTAATTCTGTTAAATAATCACTATTTGGCATATATAGTGAGTGATATAATGATATGTAGGGACAAATGGTGAGAGTGGCACAGGAATGATTATCCGTAAGAGAGCTAATGAAGGACATTAAGGTCTATCTCAGAAGTAGCTGGAGTTAACTAAGTCAGGGAAGTAGAAGTGTCATTGGGGACATGCTATTTCTAGTACCCTACAAATATTACAGGTGCGGGAAAATGAGTTGTCCAAGCAGAATGGACTTGCTTTAACTATACAGAAGGCAACAATCACATGGAGCCAATTAAAAACCCTGAAGGTACTATGCTAATTTCCAGAATTGGTCCTACTCAGTTGAGAATGCAAATCTTCATGAAGTGCTTCACAAGGCACCTGGAAAGGAGAAAAATTTCTGGAAAAGAGTGGATTCCTTAGCTTGAGGGCCTGCCTAAATACCAATAACAAAAGTTAACAGTTATTGAATATGTGTCAGACGTATGCTACATATTATGTATGATTTGTTTAATCCTTTCCAAAATACAAGAACGGAGGTTGATACTATTCCCATTCCCATTTTACATATAAGGAGACTGAAGCTCAGGTTAAGTAAACCTGTATAGTATCACACAACTAGTAAGTGGTAGAACTTACATTAGAAAGAACTGAAATAGTGTTGAACTCAGATCCTCAGTAGTAGACAGATAAATATTTGCTTCTAAATCATTGTCTTTTCATTTTTTTTCTGTTTGAGAGTTTTTTGCTATAGGGTGTGTGTGCAGAAAGAGACAGAGACAGAAAGAGAGAAATCACCCCCTAGGGGGGATAGCCATGCCGCAATCCCTTCTCCTTCATTCTCCTCTTGGGATCTTGGACACACACAGACACAGACACACACACACACACACACACGTGTGCTGGTTTTGAGTTTAAGCCACCAGGTCCAGGACTCCAACTGATGGTTGACTACATGGGAGTCCAGCGACATAGCCATTATGCCAACTGCTGGTCCTCCTAATCTTTTAATTTTTATTAACTGCTCTTTATTTTAGAATAAAGCTAACCAATACAGAAACAAATCAAAACACCTGGGGCTAGCAGGTGTCATAGTGGTTAGAGGCTCTGGACTCCCACATGTTTGATCATGGTTTGAATCTCGGACCTGGTGGCTTGTTTTCTTGCTTATCCTCTCTCTCTCTTTCTTTGGTCAAATTCAATAATAATAATAATAATTATAATAATAAATAAAATAATTATTTTAAACTTCTCCCCGCACAAAAAAAAAAAAAAAATCAAAAGTGTCTGCTGTCTTGGATAAGCTCAGGTGAGTGTTTCAGAAAATAATCTCCTGAAGAAAAGTTTGATCATCAAAGATCCTAAGACTTAGTTTCCTTATTTTAAAAATGAGAAAACCAGTCCTACCTATCTCACAATGATGTAAGAAATAAACAAAATAACCAAATACATACAAAAGCATTTTGCAATCTGCAAAGCACTATATTCCAGTAGATATTACTTTGTTAAATACAAAAAAGCATAGCTTCAGTAAATCAAACAGGCAGAGCACATCCCAAGACAACTGCAAAAGATATCCTATTAACTAATGGAAACTTTACTTAATGTGTACAGCTAAGGCCAAGGAAAAATTAATTCCCAAGTATATTTCTGTCAGCCTTATGGCTGCTATTGATGAAAATTCATTCGGAATTTCACACTTACTTCTAGGAACTTTAAGTCAGAAGCCAAATATAGGGACTGCAGCAAATAGAAACATCAGTTCCTTCTGCCCCAAGCCAAGTGTGTCGGCAGTGGTAGCAAATGCTGGCTCAAATACCACCCTCCATGAGGCCATCCTTGATCTCTCCAGTCAGAATTGATCCAGCCATCCTTTACATGGTCTCACAGCACATATGACTATTTCATTGGCATTTCATTCTGACTGGTATTAAGAGTTATCAGTTGTTTTCAAACCTGACTTCTTTATACCTCTTGAACGCAGTAAATGTATACAGACTCTGAAACACCTAAGGCAGAGGATTGTATATATTATCTCCCACTCCAATGTTTACTCAATACCAAGTTTGTACCAATATCTCTCAATTCTTAGCCGGTGGCTGTAGTTTCAGTCTGCACCTGGGGATAAGCACAAACTCAAACACAGCACAAACGTTAAAAATTCAGGGTGGAAAAAAAAATCTAACTGTGCCCAGTATCTATCTCCTTGTTGATCTACCTTGCACAAACAAACACACACAATCAACCAAAAAAACTTGTTAAAAAAAAAAAAAAAACGAATGGGAGGCACAAACGAAAATGAAAGAGATTAACTAAATTCACAATTCCGGTTCTAATTCTGAACTACTTTCTACTCCTTGTTTCACAAAGACATCAGGCACCGCATGCATCACAGAGAGAGATCCTATCCCACCAGAAGGCAGATCCATTCTTGGAGTCAAGGAACAAACCTCCTATTCTAAACACCATCCTTTTCAAATTCAGAACCCAAAGCAAAAGCCATCCTCATGGAAGGAGGTAAGAAAATGAAAGGATCTTGGATATGCTAAAGACTCCCCAATTAGCACTGTAGGCCCCAGGACGTGAACGGTGTCAGTGCAGGGAGCGCAGGAACCTCCGGCGAGGTCCCCAGGAAACGTGCTTTAATGGGCTTCACTACACGCCACGCCGGACTGCACCGGGACTGAAAATCTGCGGCGATGCGTTTCTGATAGGCCGTCCTCCGAGGCTGGCGTCGGCCCGTGTGAGACTGCTGGTGGTGGCGCGACCACCTTGCAGCCCTCCACCCCAGACCCCGGGCCGCTGTCATCCTCCTCCGAAAGGCGCCCAGATGAACCCATTAATCACGACGCGCTCCCTCGGTCCCCCAGGACACGGCCTCCCCTCGCCCGAGGACAGCGCGGGTTGGCGTCTGCTCCCAGCTCGGCGCCTCACACCCCTTCTCCAGCCCGCACCGGGCCCGCCCTCAGCTCAGGCGGGCTATTTCGTACACGACCGTTTCGTGGCTGTGCGGGAATCACCCATTACCTTCCCCAAGCAAATGTGGCACGTGATGGGCAGAGTGAGCGACAATGTAACGTTCTGCACGGTCTGAGCCATGGCAGCGTTCAGAATCCCGCCAACACGGAAGTCCCGCCGACCGGGGCTCCTCGCCGCGACTGGGAACGCGCGAGGACCGCTACGGCGGCCCAGGAGGGCCACGGCGCGCCGGGGAGAGGAAACGAAAACGCGCTTCGGAAGCGCGCGGTTGCTCAGGTTTTCCCTATTCATTCAAAACAAAGTATCCTGAGAATGGGAAGGACAATAGTTTACCAAAGGCATGGAGGATCTTCAAATTTTAAAGGAAAGCGTAATAGTGCAGGTAAGAGAAGGAGATACGAAAAGGCCACTTTCAATCCCCAGATGTTTCCGGAGGTTTGAGTGGAGGAGGAAAGCTTTCCCGCTAAAGATTCAACTCCACAAACACAGCACAGTTACGACGTAAAGAGAAAAGACGAAAAGATACGTTTTAATTTTTCAAAGCACTTTCTGTTTCTCTTAGCTCTCTTTCCATTCTTAAGTGAAATAGTGTGTTTCCTGAGGGCACGATAATCACTCATCACTGATCGTCTCCTTATCTTACGTGTCCAGAGACAATCTGAATACATGCACTCTCAGCTTTCCTTGAAGATGTGCTTTCACTGTTGACTTTCTGTGGTGCCTGCCCAAAGGAGACTTGAGGATTGGAACCAGAGTCTAGCTAAAACAGCCATAAGTGAGAAAACTGTAGAGTTCACGCCATCCTCTTCCACTATACTTTTTTTTTTCTTAAAGAATTAGTTCTTTAATTTTATTTATCCATTCATTTATTTAAAGTTGATCAGAGAGAGAAAGAAAATGAGAAAAAAAAAGCCACTAGGTCCGGACTCAAACCATGGTCAGCCATGTGGGAGTGGGAGTGTCCAGCGTCCTAACCACCACACCACCTGCTGATCCCCACACAATGCATTTTAATGCTCTTATTTCAGGTGTATGGTTGGATATGAAATGTACTGCTGTGTTGTTGAACAAGGGAAATTATGTAAGGTCCTGAATTAGCAGTCTTAACAAAAAAAAAAAAAATAGAAGTGTTTTCTTTTTTCTTTTTTTTTTTTAAATCTTAACTGCAAGGTTTAGTTGAACTAGAACTAGCTTTGAATGAGCTAATGTGTAAATTATGCAAACAAATGCACTCAGTGAGTTGGGAGATTATTATAAACAAAATCAGTGCAACTTCTTTTATAATCATCTTGAAATTATAATTGCAAGAAGCAGCCTGGCAGTTAAGAGGAAGGGGCTCTAGACCTGGACTGCTGGAGAAGACATCCCTGTCCCCAAGGACTTTCTTATTGCATGGTCTGCAGCAATTTATGTACTCTTCCAGCATTTTAGCTTTTCTTTTTCTTTCTTTATTTTTGTTTTGAAGGATTAAATGAAGTCAGTGTATGCTTACCATCAGGTCTAAAAGGACCTGGTAACAATGACTTTGGAACAGCTAGCAGTTCACTTGAAGAAGTCCAAGTGCAGTTCAAAACTGGCTCTCAAGGGACAGTATGAATCCTTCCCAACAGCTCAGTAACTTCCTTTCTTAGGAACTAGGGATCATATTTGTTTGAAACTAGAGAACTAGAAAAAATAGTCATATCGCTTTTCTGTTTAATGACCACTTTTTCAGACTGTTCAGCATATTCTTCTGCTATTCCCTATTATTTGAAGGCAAAGTCATGGTGGGGGGGTCTTCAGAAAGTTCATGGAAAATGTGTAGTATGAAAAAACTAGGTATGAGTGTTGTTTTTTTTTGGACCCAAATAAATTCATACTTTAATTCCACTACATTTTGAATTCCTCTCATATATAAATAAGGTCCAGAATTCATGCTTGCTAATACATTTTTCATATCCTAGCTGTAGACCCCAGGCCTTAGAAGGAGAAAACTCCAGGTCATCATCCATTGTCATTCTAGTGTGGCCTTTCCCTATCTTACTGTTTCTTCCCTGTTCTCACCTAACTCAGGTCTTTTACCAAACATAATATTTTAGGGCTTCCCACATCCTCTGAATCTGATATAGAGCTGTGGCTGGGCCTAATTTTATAGTTCTCAAAAGGCAATATAGGGGCCAGCATGTGGTGTGGTGGATAAAAGCGCTGGATTCCCACATGGCCAATCATAGTTCAAGTCCCGGACCTGGTGGCTTGCTTTCTCTCTCTCTCTCTCTCTCTCTCTCTCTCATCAAATAAAGAAAAAAAAATAACAAATGGAAATAAATAAACAAATAATTATTTTTTAAAAAGGCAATACAATCTTACAAATTTTGAGGTTAAAGAAAAAAGTAAAAATACTGCTTAAAATAAAAAAGCTTGGGTTCATAATAAGCCTAAGTTCTGCCTCTCATATCCACTTCTGTAGATAGGGCAACAGGAAAACATGTTGAAGAGGTTTCCTTTCATTTATTTATTTTTTAAAATTATTTGTAATGTACACACTTTTTTAAAAGTTTATTTATTGGAAAGAACCCCCAAAATCTCTTGCCATGTTGCAATCCTCCCCACAGACTTCCAGAGAGCCAGGATCATGGCCATGCCTGCCATTCATCTGATATGTTTAGGTTCACTCAAGATCTGAATCCCAGGCCTTCCCCTATATCTCCAGTATCACACAGAGGTTCCCTACTGCTTGTGCCGCTGGGATGCTGAACCAACACTTCTTTTTAAACAGATTTTTCTATTACTTAACTGGGACAAGTTCACTTCTTATAAATCATTCTAGTGATTGGTGTCACCAATCACTAGTCACAAAGATAAAATTTTAAAATCATAATCTGCATTTTAAGCATAATATTAACATCTAGACTTGGGTTGTGTCTCATAACCTGGTAGTTAATAGAGCTGGGTCCCACATGGTCAACCATAGTTCAAATCCTAGCTCTGGTGGCTTAAAAAATTTGCCATGCATGCCCATGTTCCTACAAGATGGAGAAGTAGAGAGAAAGGCATCATATTTTGACCACATCCCAGGGGTGTGGCAGGGGTGTGCTTTCCCCTTTGTCTCTCTCTCTCTTTTTCTCCATCTCTCTTTGGCAAGTGCAGGTGCCCTGCTGACAATTAAAATAAAATTTAGACTATTTTCAACATCTCTTGCCACATTTACCATCATTGTCACAGCTTCTCACAGCTTCTCAGTGCTGTTTTAGCGCTTTGTCCATATAGCTGTTTCTGTATTAAGCACAGTGCATTATAATAGGTTATGTCTACCCCAACATAGGCTGTTTATTGAGGTCAGAGATTGCATGTAATTTTTTCAGTATCTATTACTAAACAATGATTCTACAAATAGTAGTATTTCCTTTGTTTATAGCTTACCTTTATTATAAATCCGGGCTGTTTTAGTTTTGGGGGAGGGGATTTTTGCTATAGTGTGCATGTGTTTGCCAGAGAGACAGAGAGAGACAGACATACAGAAAGCGAGAAATTACCTCCCAGTGGTAAGAAGTGCAGTGTACCTATACTCCTAGCTAAGTGGAGGATGGGTTGAGAGGATCATGGCATGGTGAGACCCTGTTAAAAATTTCTTTCTCCCTTTTTTTTCCTTGCTCCCTCTCTGTCTTTCTCTCTTTTTTTCTCTCTTTCTTACTAAAATAATAATGAAACTATGGCCAGCCCATGGCATAATGGTTGGGGCAGCTGGATTCCATGGGCAACCATGTAGTTCAAGTCATGGTCTTGGTGACTTGGAGAAACACACCAGATACCAGGCACATGTATGTGCATCCCACAAGAAGGGAGACCTGTAGGGGACAGGACTGAAGTATGATCATGACCTGTGGGAGGTGCTTTCTCACTTTCCCTCCCTTGCTGTCTCTGGTAAGCATACTTACCCTCTGGCAAAAATTAATAATAGTAATTAAGAAAACAATGCAGGTTCACTTTAAGAAAATTAAAATATTTAAAATACATGAAATAATAAATAAATAATAAATGAACACTCCTATATACTTTTGCTTCAGCTGTACTATGTGATAATCACTACTAACTTTCTACAATATATCCTTGAAAGCATTTAAATTCATATATTAGTGTAAGTATAAACACAAACAGGATCATACTCTATTTGTTTTGTTCACTTAATGCTTTGTGGATAAACACACACACACACATCCACATAATATTGTCACAATATAGATTGATTAGGTCTCTCTCTAGGTCCAGATAAATTCCAGGCCAGTTTACAGGCTTTGCTTTTAGTAATGCTACTGGCTTAAGGTCAGCAGCTATCTTTTCTGACTACTTTAAAAAGAGTATTACCCTTTTTGTTGTTTTTGTTCTTTTTTTTTTTTTTTTGACAAACCATGTCTGAAATAGGCATTGTTTGATCCAAATCATTAAATGATGCTGTCATTATTCTAACAGAAAAGCAAAGATTATACAGCTCAGTAACTTTCTGCATAATTTCTCTCTCAACTTCTTAGTAGTCTTATGGGGAGACCTGTGATCCGAGGGGGTTCTAGTACATGTGACACCTGGAATGGCTTCCTAAATCATTAGGATTATAAACCTTTGGGACAAGGAAGGTTCTTTGGGATTGTTATACAGGCTTGCCTTTCACGTAAGGGGAAATTGAGGCTTGGATAAGACAAAGCACCTGATAATGGTACGACTGGAGCTAAATCCTAGATCATACCAGATAGACTTTCTGATATTGTTGGACCAATGCCTTCATGTAAGTGCAAGATGTATTATTATTAATAAAGTAGTTCAGTAATAAAAAGTCACTCATAATTGAATTTCTTTGCTAAGAAAACCATCAAATAGCTATGGGACACCTTTTACCCCTTGTTTAAATCAGATTCATTTTTATGATAAATTATTAAAAAGCAAGTTTAAAAAAATATAAAATCTTAAGTGCTATTAAAAATTGATTAGGAATGCATTATTCTTTCATTGACCCAGTTCAGATTGTTTTTTAATTTTTTTGGTCAAAGCTAATAAATTTGAGTAGATGTTTCAGACAGACGTTTTGTAATCATTTGGTCATCAGTCAATTAATCACAACTTCATAAATATTGATTTCAGATTACATTTATTTTTCATTCCTGAAAGACAATTTTTTTGTTTGTTTTAAATTTATACACTCC